AAATAAAAATAAAATATTTATTAAAAAAAAGTGGGGTTGGCATGGTGGCCTACATGTAACCCCCATGTTTCTTAGGCAGAGAAGGGATCCTTAGGGCCAGCTGGCCAGCTAGACTGGCGAATTGGCAAACTCCAGGTTCAATGAATCACCCTGCCCCAGAAAATAAAGTGAAGTGTGGTTGAGGAAGAGACTTGACATCAACCCCTGGCCTATCAACCTCTACATGCACATGCACACATGCAAACATTCATACACTCATGTACACCAAGCATGTACATGCAAGAAAAATATTACAATTTTTGCAAATATTATTTAATAAGGAATTTGATGGCTTTTTAATGTAACATAATTTGGCCTCCAGTAAAAGTAACTCATAATTTGACTGTTAATATTCCTTTGTCTTTTCTAAGTTGACTTAAAATATATGATTTTTGTCAAGGGATGCATTTTTCTTAAAAGATCTAATGGTAAACATGCTATATGCCATATGTATGTGAACTTTTCATTCAGGGGACCTTGACTCTGCCTCTCTAGACTGATATTACACGTTCAAGGACAGAAACCCCACTGGGCATGGTAGCTCATGCCTGTAAACCAGCATTTGGGAGGTAGAAGCACAAGAGTTGCCAACCTGGGCTACATAGTGAGTTCCAGGTCAGCTAGACAGTACCTCAAAAAAAACCCTGCAACACCAATAAACCCCATATCTGTTAGCAATCATTTCTTTGAGCTAGCCTACTTGGAGGCTATTACTATCTTTCTCTATAGATTTGCCCTCTCTGGGCACTTGTATCAATGCAATCATACAGTAAACAGGCTTTTATTTGACAGGCTTCTTTCTTGTAACATGTTTTCATGGTTCACATATATTATAAAATGTATTGGGACTCCATTTCTTTTTAGGATCAAATAATACTCCATTGTATGGATGTACCACATTTCTCATTTATATATTTTTCAGATGTTGGGCATGTTTTTTTTTTGTGCTTTTTGGCTGTTTTGAGTAATGCTTCTATAAACACTTGTGTGGACATCATGTTTTCAATTCTGTTATTTATCAATGGACATTGAATTGGTGTAGCCTAGGTAATTTTATATTTAACTTTTGAAGATCTGCTGAATTGTTTTCCAGTATAGCTACACCAGTTAATATTTCTACTGTAAATGTGTGAGAGGTACAGTTTTTCTGTATTCTTGTCAGCATTTCTTAATTGTTGACTTTTTTTTTTGAGGCAGGGTCTCATTGTGTAGCCCTAACTGGCCTAGAACTCACTATGTACATCAGGCTAGCCTTGAACTCACAGAGATCCATGTGCCTCTACCTCCCAAGTGCTGGAATTAAAGCAATGTCTGACTTTTTTAATGTGTATGAGTGTATTGCCCAAATGTATGTAAGTGTACCCACATTGTGCAATGCCTGCAGAGGTCAGAAGAGGGCATTGGATTCCCCTGAACTGGTTGTTAGCTGCCATGTGGGTGCTGGAAATCGAACCTGGGTCCTCTGCAAGAGCAGCCAGTGCTCCTAACCACTGAGCAATCTCTCCAGCCCCCTTAAAATACTTGCAAGTTTAAAAAATTAAGATATGATTAATATACCATGAAGTTTGCCTTTCTAAAGTGCACAGTGTAGTGATTTTATGATAGCCATAAATTTGACCATATTAGTATTGAATTCCAGAATTTTTGATTCCCTGGGAAAGAACTAAGAACCCATAGGCAGTCACTCCCCACTCCTCCCTTTCCTCAGCCCCTGGTAGTCAATGGCTCATTAATTTTTGATGACTGAATAGACAGGTTCAGATTAAGTGTCCAGTGATTGCCATAACAACATTTGGTATTTACCCAGCACTAATCACCATGGTTCCTAAGCATTAGACAAAACAGCTCAGTAAATAGCCTGAAGCAGAGGTAGACAGCACGTGGAAATCAAGAAAGAAAAACCCTTCTAACCTGACCCTCCACATCCAGCAGTGCCCTTCCCAATGTGTCTAACTGGAGGATGACATGGAGGGCTCAAAGCTAGAGGAAGACGAACCTTGGAAATGGATCTGTGGCGTGGCGTCAGGCTAGTGCAATGAGGAGGGAAGCTCGGCTCTGCTTGGTGCTGCTGCCTGTGTGATCTAAGAACAGGAAATTATTTCCTTCCTAGTCTTTCCTCATCTGTAAGGAAGCTGATCCCATATATCCCACAGGATTGTCTTGTGGATAAAACCTTTTGTAGAGTACCCAGCCAAAACCAAGTGCTTGTAAATGGTAGTTCTTGTTGTATCACAGGATGGATCCTTGAGTGGCATGTCACAGAGAATTCAGAGTATGAAAGGAAGCTGACTGCCAGTCTTTCTGGGGTTTTTTAAAATATTTTATATATTATTTATATTTTATGTGTATGAGTGTATTGCCTGCATGTATGTGAGTGCACCTGTGTAGTGCAATGCCTTGGAGGTCAGAAGAGAGCATCAGATTCCCCTGGAACTGGAGTTAAGGTTCTTAGCTGCCATGTGGGTGCTGGGAATCGAACCTGGGTCCTCTGCAAGAGCAGTCAGTGCTCTTAACTGCTGAGCCATCTCTCTAGCCCCCAGTCTGTCTTTTGTCGATTCTTTCTTAAGTCTTCAGAGTTTTATTTTTATTTTTATTTGGTGGTACTAGGTATTGAACTAGAGCTTCGGTACATGCTGTGCAAGAAGAGTTCTACACCCAAGCTCCATCTCCAGCCACAGGTTTTTTTAAATCACTCTTTTCAGACTCTGCATCTCTGCCTCTCTCCTCTAATGTATATTTCTACAAACATATTTCCAGTTCTGTCCTAGTTTAATGTTAGGTATAGCATGCCTCCTGGCATGTTACCAATAGCTAAAATAACTAGTGATACCATAAAATATGAATTGCCAAGGCATATTCAAATGAATTCCCATTTTCATCTTAAATGTCTGGCTTTGACCACAGAAGAACTTTTCTAAGTGGCCTCCAAATTCACAAGCCTAGTGAGACATGGTAGTCACAGCACTTGGGAGGCAGAGGCAGGCAGATCTCTATGAGATTGAGACCAGCCTAATCTACATAGTGATTTTCAGGCCAGCTGGGGCTACAAAGAAACCCAAAACAAAACAAACACAAAGCCCCACAGATTCACAAGCCTAGTGCAGTCATTTTGCTGGAAATCCACACCCTGAGGTGGCTGGGATTGATGGGGACCGTGGTGAGCAAGAATGTTCATACTCTACCTAAGTGCATTTAAATTAAACCCTGAAGTGCCTGTCTGAGGCCCCAGAGGAGGTAGAATAGGGGCATGGGGGGTTCTGGAATCATAACCTTTGGGTTCACTCTGTAGGTAAGGGCAGTTTGTTTTCTTACAGACTATACTATGTTTCTGAAGTTCTGAATTCTGGCTTAATTGTATCTCTGCCCCTGTAGATTCTCCAGCTCTTTGAAATTACAATTGAAATCTTTGGAAACTGACATACAAAAATACTAGCCTCTCATTTTACTCTTCTCTCACTGAAGGCTTGAA